TCTCAAAAAAAAAAAAAAAAAATAGAAAAACTTTCGGGCATGGTGGTGGGTGCTTGTAGTCCCAGCTACTTGGGAGGCTGAGGCAGGAGGCTCACTTTAACCCAGGAATTTGAGGTTGCTGTGAGTTAGGCTGATGCCACAGCAGTCTAGCCTTGGCAATAGAGCAAGACTATGTCTCACAAAACAAAAAAAAAAAAAAGAAAGAAATGCTGTTGTGTGTTATTAGGTAATGTGTGTCTGGGACAATTTCACATCATCCCTGAACTTGAAAAAGTATAGCTCTATTCACAAGCTCACCTCCACTCCAAGACATCCCCCACCCTCAGCCCCAATTTATGTGTAAGCCCCACCCTACCTCCTTTCTCCTTGGTATACAAAAGTTCTCTCCTCCCTATCCTACCAGATAATACCTTGAGATGGAAAGTTCTGCCAGGCGTCCTGTTCCTTTGGGGCTTGCTTCTGATGGGCTGTGGGCTCAGCCTAGCCACCCTGGGAAGGTGAGGCCATCAGACCCATGGGTGTCTTCCCAGGTGGGGTTGGGCAGCTGGGCATTAGCTGAGCTTCCAGAAGGGTTAAAGGGAGGGCCTTGGGGCTCTGTAATATTCCTAAACCCTGCAATCTGGGCACGGGTGTCTGGCCACCTGGATGCCGTGTCTTGACTCTTACCTTCTTGCCAGGTGCCTCCACCTGTGGCACAAGGTACTGCCTCACTGGGTCTGGGATAAGGTTCCTGATCCTGCCCACAGCAATTCTGGCCAGCCTCATATGGAGGTGAGCAGGACAGCTGGCATGTGGGATCCCTGTGGTGGGCTTGGGGGATCCTGGGACAGTGGCAAATGGGTCATATGTCGCGGGTGGGAATGGGGGCAAGATTTTAACCTTATCCTCTTCCCAGGAGGTGCCCCAAGCCCAGTCCCTTAGGGACTTCCCCATCCTGGAAGTGGAGGTGATGGAGCCACTGCCGGTTTTGGAGTCCCCCCAGGCCTCTACCCTGCTTGACTATGGTTATGAGAAACACTTCCTGCCCACACCTGAGGAGCTGGGCCTTCTGGAGACCCCCAGGGCCTAGGTTCCAGCCTGAACCTTACCTCAGAGTCTGGGAGGTACAAGCCAGGCTAGTAGGGTGCTCATGTAGCCCTGTCCTGAGGAGCTGGGCCTTCTGGAGACCCCCAGGGCCTAGGTTCCAGCCTGAACCTTACCTCAGAGTCTGGGAGGTACAAGCCAGGCTAGTAGGGTGCTCATGTAGCCCTGTCCTGAGGAGCTGGGCCTTCTGGAGACCCCCAGGGCCTAGGTTCCAGCCTGAACCTTACCTCAGAGTCTGGGAGGTACAAGCCAGGCTAGTAGGGTGCTCATGTAGCCCTGGATTAGTTCTCTTGACAGATGAAGACACCGAGGCTCAGAGAGGCTGGGTTACTTTCTTGAGGACACCCAGCCTTAAAGAGCTGGGATTGAAGGATCCCTACAGAGAAGGACCTGGCTCCAGTAGGGAAGACATGGATGGATGAAGGAACAAAGGAAAATACATGAAATTGAAAGTGGCAGCTGCATCCCCAAATCTTGTCTTCCTGCTGGAACAGAACTGCATTTAGAGCTGGTTACAGTGACAAGAGTCTGTGGTCCCAGCTACTCAGGAGGCTGAGACAGGAGGATCACTTGAACCCAGGAGTTCAAGGCCAGCCTGAGTAACATAGTGAAACCCCTGTCTCTTAGAAAACAAAACAAAACAAAAAACCATGCATCTGGGGCTGCACTTATAGCTTAGTGGGTACGGTGCCGGCCATATGCAGTCATATACCCTGCTTGGGCCAGCTAAAAACAATGACAACTGCAACAACAATAACAAAGAATAGTCAGGTGTGGTGGGTGCCTGTAGTTCCAGCTACTTGGGAGGCTGAGGAAAGAGAATTGCTTAAGCCCAAGAATTTGAGGTTGCTGTGAGCTGTGATGCCACAGCACTCTACTGAGGGTGACATAGTGAGACTCAGTCTTAAAAAAAAAAAATAACAACATGCATCTAGACACCACCCCAGGCTCCCTTGCAGCTAGAGTAGCCATGGATTGAGCCATGGACTGAGAGAGTGACATGTGACAACACTGGGCCTGAGTGGGCCTTTAAAACACTGCATAGGAGCTCCTCTGCATGATTTCCTTGCCCATGAGCTGGAACACAACATGCTTGTGATCCAGCTTTAGCCATACCCAAGGGGTGGGTGGGACAAGTATGGAAAGGAACTTGAATTCCTGAATGACAGCACAGATCAGAGCCTCGAAGAGAAATAAACTCTGTTTTTATAGCTACTGTAGATTGAGGTCTTTTTGTTCTAGCACTATACTCTCACTGATCCATAGTCTTTACCTCCTCATCCACCAGGGGATGATGAGGTGATTCTGTGCCAAGAACACTCACATTCAAGTAGTCCGAGTGCTTTCACATTTTATTTTCAAGTATAAGTATAAAGGCTTCATTGCAGAAGGGGGCCAGGGTCACAGGCAGTGGGCAAGGGGTCCGGAAGCCCAGGCATAGGTGGACGTGCAGGCCAGCTGGCTCCCAGGTGCCACAGCCAGTCCCGTGGTGCCCTGTCTGCCCTTGGGACCCTCTGCTGAGGTAGCTATGAGAGGGGCTGGGCATGGGGTGGAGGCACATGGGCTCACATGACCACACAACACTGGCACGTCTTTTGTTTAGGGCCGCTCACCTCTTCACCCTCAGTGGGGACAGATGGCTCAGGCTGCCGGGCAGGTGCATAGGTGGGCACGGCACGGGCACTGGGGTTGGCGCTGAGCCCCTGCCCCTGAAGCAGTGGCTGGCACTCGGCAGGCTGCTCTGGGGCTGGGGTGTGTGCCAAGAGGGATGTGGCATCCCCCGAGGGGCCCTGGCCCTCAACAGTGGTTTGGGGCTTCACTGCTTCCTCCTCCAGGGAGCCTTCTTGCTTGTCCTGGAGCTGCAGTCCTTCCTCCTCTGGTCTTAGCTCCTCATTATCGCCAAAAAGAATCCCTGCCTTGCTCACCTTCTCTGCCTGGGATTCAGTTCTTTCCCTGGACTCTTTCTGCTCTTCTGGACTCAGCTTTTCCTCAGCCCCTTGGGTCTTCTCTCTCTCTACCTCTAAGGCTTCCTCACCTCCTTTTCTCTCTACCTCTAAGGCTTCCTCACCTCCTTTT